ACCCCCGGCTGAAGCTACTTTGTGGTTTGCATCCATAAAGACTGTAAGAATTGACTTATTTTTAAGTTGACAGAGCCAATAAAAATAAAAGATATAACTGATTAAAGAAATTCAAGTTTTTCAGTTACAAGCTATATAATGGAAAATAATACTTTCTTCACAAAGACCAAGAAGCATACATGTGCTACACTGAAGAGTATCCTACATTTTCATATAACTCCTCTTATGATTCTCCCCAATTAGAAGAGTTAAAACACAAAACAAAGACAGTCTGCATACAATATGAACCCAAAAGTAGCATCCAACTGTGCATGCCCCTGTCCTCCAAGACTGGGGGGAGAGAATAGGACAGAGAGCTAAGAACACAGAATATTTTTCTGCTATAAAAAAAGAGCATTTGCTTTACAAAACAATAGCAACATTTACACTTGACAACAAAGGCCAAAAAAAAAAAATTCTTGGAAAATTTCTGGGTGCCTCCTAAGTCGTAGGAGACAAGCTCAATGTTTTTCATTAGGACAAAAGATAAACACCAACCTTAATGTAAATCCCAAGCACATAAGGAAGTCACATTTCACTGTCTACAAATTATTACTGATACAATAGAGCACTTCAGAATATTTGCATTTCTATGCTGTCCAAACAGGATATTAGAACAGTGGGAAGACAAGTGATAAAGTAAAACCTAAGAGGAGTTTGAAAACCGTTGCAAATATGTTCCCTAGAGAAAAATATGTGGACATCAAAGTTCTTTTGTATTGATGTCTCACAAAACTTTATTAAGCCTCAGTTGCAAAACTTGCTTACTTTGCATGGCTTCATTACCTGCAGTCAGACTGTGTTTACAACACTTGGGATGTCTGCCTTCCTGCAATAACATGACCCAGTTTTGGATGGTTAGAACTATAACAGCCAAAACCCACCTGCCGTTATGTATGTAGTCCTACAATTTATTTTTGACCAAATAGTTTTAGCAGTTCATATATAAAGTATACTATTATTACTAACTTAAATGTTATATATTTCATAAACATGCACTTATAAAGAAGTTTCTTTCATTTTACTTCCTGAAACATTGAGTAATACAAAAAGAAAAGTGTAGCCCCTTGTCATTTAGATATAGCAGAAGTAGGTAAAATGGACACTGACCACAATCAAGAATAATGAAATCACTACATCTTCATATTCCCGTATAAATACAGTAATATAATACCTCACTGCATTATGAGGTACTTCTAAACATAAAATACATGAAAGTTTTTGACTGCTTATTTGGTAAGCAGACTTTAAAAAATAAAACCAGATCTCATTTAAAAATTCATATGCTCAAATAATATGCCACAATATGCTTTAGCTCAAAGTTATGTCCAAAAAAAAAAATCAATTTAGAACCAAATAGGCAAGAGCTAAATTGTTGTCTTTCAAACTTGCACATTTAAACCTGTCAGCTTCTTCTGATGATACTGAAAGGTCACACTAGACATATGATGGAACTGTGGAACTGCACAATAATGCCAAGTATCATGGTTAATTTAGGTAACTAACGGACAGCATGGGTTTTGGTGTCATGGATGATGAAAGCAAGCCTTTGTCAGGATTTCTGGCAGCACCATTACACTTAATGTTACTCTGAAAAACAAACTGATCTTATCTTGGTGACCCAGATGTTATAAAGTGATTTGCAAAATAAGAGCCTAGTGCTCAGTTGGAACCATACATAATAATCAAACAGACCTGCTGGTATGCCTCATGTGCTTGTAACCAATTTTATATCATCCTTTAAAATATATTTTAAATAAATAATAATTTAAAAACCCACAAAAACAACACACTATTAAAAATAAGAGAATTAGAGAATTCAAAGAGCAAATCATTCCCAGCTGATCATTATAGCCACAGATTTGAACTTGACTATCACTCAAATTAAGATTCTTTCATGATTCTAAGTTATTATTTACTGTTATGCCAAGATTCTAATGCAACACTGTATTTAAACAACTTGAACTTAAATTTTAAATTCACCTGTATTCAGCTATAAAAGATCTAATTTAATTATGAAGAAGTGTTGTGCACTAGGACCAAAAAGAAATTATGGCCACCATAGTATAGTAACCTGAACTCAATATATCCATCCGGCAAAGATTTTATGAAATAAAGACTCAGATTGTTTAAAGGTTACTTAGTGGTAAACCCAGCATAAAAAAGCAAACTACAGATAATGACCAAACAATCATGAATTACACATATGGAGACAGAAGTAACTGCAGTGACATTTTATATACCTTAATTAATGAAATTAACAGATGTAGTAAACTAAGCAAGTGATATTGCAAATCTCCCACAACACAAAATCTGTGTTAATTTTTGACAGTTCTGCTTCCATAGGCAGTAAGTATTCTTAGATGAGAGATGAATTCAGAGTCTGAACTTCACAACACTGCGAATCATCTGATTTTAAACTCAAAAACCTTTTGGCAAAGCAAATAATGGACAGAGCAGGGAAGGATGGGAAGAGAGCAAGGACAGGAAGCATTACAACCAAAGCAAAACACAAAGCCATTACTCCCACTTGTTCACATGTGTGTGCACACGGACACAGACACACACTGCAAACCTCCTTCCTTAGCTCTTAAGAGAAGTTCTTGCAAATCCTGTGCTTGACTAGTATCACTCAAAGAAATAATGTCCCACTCAAAGAAATGCATTCTTATTACGTCTGAGGCTTCAGGAAAATTTAGCTTAAAATTATTTCCACAGTTACACTGTCATTAATAACATTAAGCAAGCTGAAATGAATGCTTCTTGCTTTGTAATCTAGAAGCAAAAAAAATTGCCACAAAAGATATGCAGACAGTTTCCAGTAAATAATTCTCAAGCCCTAGTATTAAAAAAAAAAAAAAGCCTCAACAAAAATCAGAAATTTAGTACCATAAAGATACTTGTTAAATAAATTTTTCTAGTTCTTGTCTTCTCTAATTGAGAAATATAAACAAAATAGAGCTCAAATTCACCTATGGCATCAACAAGCAGAATTAGCTTTGATGCTTGAAATGACATGAAAGTTGCATGTGCCTATCTCCAACAGATCAATATAGCAGTATCACTCAAAACACAACAGTATAAAAAGCTGTAACAAAGCAGTTCTTTGGCTGTATTTTGAATAAGATTTTCTTAGACCAATTCTACTACAGCTTGCGTCTAAAGGGAAAAAAATATGTTGCTATGGAAGTTACACTTGAAGCACAAATTAAGCAGTAAAAACATTAGCAGAGCTCAAAAAGATTCAGTTAAAGAAACTTCTAGGGCCAAACACTGTCAGGATTTTAAATTTCTCACCTGTTCTGCAACTCTTAATTCCTGAAAATCCTACAGGAAAAATCTTAACTAATAATGTTATACCTTAAGTTGCAGTCAATGTTCTGTTTAATTTGTGGCTTCCCCCCAACCCCAATAAACAAACTGAAGTTCAAGTTTCCCCAAAATCATTCTGCTCAGAAACAAAGCTGATTCATACAGTCCTCCAAAGAAATGCCTTGGTGTTCTGCATAACCAAGAGATATCTTAACAGAAAATACATATGCCTAGTATCATGAAAATGACTAAAAGGAAGACAAAACAGACAAACAGTGCAACGTCTGATTCTTACATTATGTAGAAGTGGAAATGTTTTTTTTTTGTGGGTACTTACTGTGCCCGGCTCTCTGTCTGCTCCCGCAGTAACCAAGAAATGCACAGACATGCCCGTTCAGACACAGAGGCAAGAACAGAAATAAAAAAAAGGGGGAAAAAAATTAGAACACAAGCCACGAACAGTTTTAAAATGGCTTTTATTTATATAAGTCATTGCACATTCCTAATACAGTGATTTCCTGAAAATTACAGTATTTTGTAAACATGATTTACAGTTTAACCATACACAAAGCCTAGTTTTATTTCATGACAGAATAAATTATTTTCTTTTCAAAAATTAGTCAAGTGCAATTTTGCCCAATATTTAATTGCGTACTAGAATTTAAGCCTATGAAACTAAAGTAACAGATGCAATTATCTAAATCTTTTGTTTGAACACATTCATTTCAAAATTTAACTTCTCGTTCCCCCTACCTTCCCACCCACCCACTTAATAACATTACTTTCTTTGAAAAAATTACCCATTATGCAATTTAACAGTTTTCCACAACATGGTACAGGCCACTGGTGTTACAACTAAGCATTTACCAGGATGTCAAAATGCCCTGCAAACTATAGAGCAAGTGACACCTAGTGATCCCCTTTTAAAATACTGAAAAATTCCAAGCTGAAATTTGCTTCAGTGGTATATATGCAGACATTTTTAAGTTTCCAAGAGTTTTTTCTCATTCTATATTACTTGAATTCTTTAGAGATGCATATAATTTGCAGCAATGCGCAAATTTGACAGTGTCCTAATCGGGCCTGCCATGCCTCTCACCTCTGTGGTGTTCTGCATCGTGATGCTTCTTGTCATCTTTTATTGCCAAGTGAGACTGCCCACCCAAAGCACTAGAAAGGGCAAGAAGGCCAGCACTGCTTCCCAGTGGAGGGATTCCTGGAGGCTGAAGTCCTGACGGATGTGGTGTTAGAGGCACTGGAGGTCCATGGCCATGGGACAGATGTTGAGCCTGCAACTGCTGCTGCTGTTCCCAGCGGTATCATCATCCCCAGAAGAAAAACACGTAGCACATAGTTTGGGAAGGAGAAGGGAGAAGTTTGGTTAATTATTGAGAACCAGCAGTGGATTTTTTCATTTGTTTGTTTGCTTTAAATCTAGCCTCAATTCTTTGTCTCCCCACACTATACATACTGCATTATATCATGCTGCCCGTAGGCAGCTCTGCTTATGTCCCATAAACCAAAACAGGCTAGCTGGACACCTGTTCTGTGGCCCAAGGAGTAGGTTCAACTACTATAGGTTGTTTTGGGCGGCTACTGCCTGCTACAGCATCCCTGGTGACAAACAAACAGCAGCAGCAGGCCTGAACACCTTTCTCTTTCTATAGAAAGGAGTATTGCTGCTCTGGGAAAAAAAAAAGTTTCACTGGCAATATTGATTTCAACTCACCTCCCTCTCTTCTACCACTTTGGAAACAGTAAGTGGGTTTCCATTTTGAATGTTAAAAAAATCTAAAAGACACTGCTGAATTTCATATTTTATGTAGTTAAATTTATATTTTATTCTAAAATATAAAAATAAATTAGCTTTTGAAAAAATAAATTATTCATAAACTAACACTATGTTTAGGAACCAACTTCATCTTAAAATCCAGGTATTCCAGATAGCATCAGTAAGATCATGGAATTCTCAACAAGAAACATGGTATTAATGAATTAAAATACCTCCATTTGTTTCAAAAGCTTCTTGCAAGATCAGTATCATAATGAGTGGATATAAAACCCTGTAACCAATCTGGCAAAATAACCTGTAAGCAATTTTAGAAAGGGAGTCCTTATAATGGAATGATTTTCCCATAGTTTAAACATTAAGATATTTTATAGTTAAAACTGTTACGGTTTTATTAGTATTTTCCAAGTTCAGCTATTTAATTTGTCCAAAATGCTCAGCGCAGATTTGTTTAGAAAGTTAAGCATCAAAACCGTCTTTAACTTAGTCACAGCTCCCCTTTAGTCTGCTACAGGTTAAAGAGATGTTCTGCCTCTTTAGTGCTTCCTTGGGCCTGCGCATATGAACAGAGGACAGAACAAACCTCTCCACCTTGGCCATACTCCACCATCCCTCTACTGAAGGTAGATACCATGAAAAAAGCTAGACTACCACCCAATTAATGAGATCCAAGAGAAGACAGATATGCAAATGTCTGAACAGGATGAGCTCAGCTAGACATAAGAGTTTGACCCGGTGAATAGGACCCCAGTGGTCCTGCAAGAGCAGGCAAAATTATTACAAGTACTGCTGACAGCTACTGAAATCATACCTAGACTAAACCTCACCATTTCACAAGTTACTCCAAAATAACTCAACTCAAAATAATCCAAAAATATTTTATCTGCTTCCATAGGTCCCAAGACTCTTCAAGACAAACTGTCAACAATACCTGTGTAACGTCTACTGGCATATGAATGACTTGATTTATTACTATTTAGATAACTACTGTGCCCCTACACTATTATTTCTCATAACTCCATCCCAAGACATGCCTTGAGCTGTTTATAAATTTGTGTAGACACAAGTGACCGTCAGTTAAAAACTCTGGACTGGACCTGCTAATCTTTCACTTTTCTGCTGTCCCAACTGACTTACTTATTTTTGATATACAAGACAAATCTTAGAATTTACCACAATCCTTTTAGCCAAGGTGCAGGACCCTGCACTTGGCTTTATTGAACTTCATGAGGTTTGCACGGGCCCACTCCTCAGGCCTGTCGAAGTCCCTCTGGATGGCATGCCTTCCCTCAAGTGAATCAACTGCACCACTCAGCTTGGTGTCATCTGGAAACTTGCTGAGGGTGCACACAATCCCATTAGCTGTGCCATTGATGAAAATATTAAACAGTACTGGTTGCAATACAGACCCCTGAGGGACACTACTTTAGGAATCAAACTGTTAGGGACAGTTTAGCTAGAATTTCCCTGGCTTTGGTTTGTAGCCTACACACAGGATATTTTGAAAGTCCCAGAACTGAGGAACAGATTAATCCCCTCTAACAGGTTCTGAAACTGAAAGCATGTGACGAGAAGGTCTATGTCCTGTTTCTCTGACAGGACTGCATACAAATGGTGGGAAGCAATGCCCAGTGTATGGTGTAGAACAAAATCTGAGTGCTTTAAGTGGAAACGTACCACCCTGTGTAACATCTTAGCAGCTTTACGAAATGGCTACTGAGGGTAGCAGAGGAAAAATGGTACCCAAAGATGCTTAAATATCCAACTATGTTAAACACACTTAAGACTGAAAACCTGATCATGGTCTTTTAAGCCAACAAAGATATATTGTGATTTAATCTTCACTATCTGAGGCTCACTGCTCTAAGATTAGAGTATGTTGATTTATTGTTTATATACTACCTATTCATAATAAGTATAAAGTTCTCCCTAACACATGAAGATGATCTTTTTCAGAAGTTCATGCTCTTTTTATTTAAAAAATTTGAATTGTTGAAAGTATATTTTATTCTCTTTCTAGAAAGGGAAAAGGGAGTATGTGCTGCCACAAAGGAAGGAACTAAAGAGGAGGGAGATGAGTAACAGCAGCACTCACTTAGATGTATTTAGTGACTAGACATTTGCCATGGTAGATCCTAGAAACAATTACGTTATGCATATGATCACTTTCCTGTCACTTCAAAGACACTAATGCCTGCTCTGTCACCATTTAAGAGCTTAACAGCAGTGAGATATAAAATGGAGTAAGTTGGCAGCAGTATCATGGTCTACTAGGCATGTTCATTAGCTGTTAATTAAAAACTAGACACCTGCCATAAGAAATGTGCTCAAAAAAGGATGAGTAACAGGTCTGTCTTACTACCAATTATTATCATTACTTGCAGAGCAAGGGCTGTGTCCACTTTCAGAGGGAAGTGGAAAGGTAGAGAAGAGTGCAATGATGCATACATAAGTGACTGCACTGAGATAATCAGCCATAGCAGTGATTTTAAAAGCATCAGTAGTTCACCCACCATTTTGTTGCTAAAACAGAAGTTCTTCTTATTTGCAAAGGGAGAAAAGAAATGGCAAATTCAGCTTACTGTACTGTCTAGATGTAGGTTTTACTGCCTCAGTTTTTTTTTTCCTGATACCATCCTAACCAGACTGCAAAGACCCCAAAATCAACATGTGAAAAACACATCACTTGCTTTTCTGACCAAGCACCTCCTAACAGTTCTAAAGGCAGTATAGTTTTTCACCTCCAACATCCTAGGCAAGTTCCAGCTATAAAGACCTCTCTAACTAGGACTTAAAATTTGGAATTAATTTTCGAACTCTGCCAGAGATTTACAGAGACAGAGTTAGTAAGTCTTTATGAAACAGATTTCCTATACATAAACAATGACACATCACCTTTAGGCTTCTTGCTTATCAAGATACAGCATGAGCTCCTACAATCCCACTTCCCACCTTAAAGTAGATCTGTTGAGTTTGCAAATACATATGGCTTACTTAAAAATCTAGTTTTGAACTCCTGGCATTAAACAGTTAGGGCATTCTTCTGTTCTTAAATGGATATGTGATGTACTACTCAGTACCTGCCGAAAAGCACTGAATTAAAAATTCAGATGTGACTGTACATGAATAGTGGGAAAAAAAGGTTATACCTTGTTGCTACTACAATAGCTGTCTTTTCTTGTGCCCTTCTAAATAAACAACTTAGAGTAGGAAAAGTGTTCAAAAACCTTATCAGCACTGGCACCAGTAATACTATCAATAGATTCCCCCAAGCTCCATACAGGTGTTCTGAAAAAACATCTGGCAAGCACAAAAGTAATTTAGAGACCTAAAATATAAAGGGCACTATTTCATGTCAACTTCTGTAAAACTTAAGAAATGGGATTTTGTTAAACTCAAGCAGGCAGAAAGACATAAAAGAAAACCATGTATTACTGTGTTCAATTTCATTGGCATATTCTCTTCCTTCCCAGATGGAAATCTTCAGGTTTTTTATTTGCTTGCTTAAGTAAGCAAATGAAGTGACAGCCTGTGTCAAATGTCTACAGTCAATGAACATATGTCCGAACATATACAACAAGCCAACCAAGTGATAACCTTCTCCCTCAACTGTTTAGAAATATTCTTAAAACCAACATTGCAAATGTAACCTTCCAAAAAAGGAAACAACTCAAGATTATGCTCCTGTCTTCTCCCTCATTCTAAAGAAACACAAAACCCTGCAGACACCACCCACACTACGAACAGTCAAATCTAGCAGGAGTAAACTCATTAGACAGTCTAGGCCATTAACTAACACTTGCATTTAAGTTTCTGTAGGTACTTTCAAAAGATTATTTCAGCTACTTGGAAAAACATATCGCAGGTTGACAAACAACCTCCCTTAAGAACATATTCGCACTCTTCTACTATGGAGGGACTACATCAGTGGACCAGGGAAGAGCTACAGCTGTCATCTACCTGGACTTCTGGAAGGCTTTTGATATGGTCCTTCACAATATTCTTGTTGATTCAGTTGCAGAAATATGGGGTTAATGGATGGATTAGTTCGATGGATGAGGAACTGGGTGGATGACCACATCCAAAGAGTCAATGAGACTCCATCCAAAGAGTCAATGGCTCAACATCCCTGTGGAAATTAGTAACTAGTGGTGTCCCATAATGGGACCACTACTATTTCCTATCTTCATCAATGACATAGCTAATGGGATTGAGTGTACTCTCAGCAAGTTTGCAGATGACACCAAGCCGAGTGGTGCACTTGTTTCACTTGAGGGAAGGTATGCCATCCAGAGGGACTTTGACAGGTCTGAAGAATAGGCCTCTGCAAACCTCGTGAAAGTCAATGAAGCCAGGTGCAGGGTTGTACACATGGGTCAGGGTAAACCCCAGTATCAGTACAGACTGGTGGATGAACTCATTGAGAGCAGCCCTGCAGAGAAGGACTTGGGGATACTGGTGGATAAAAAATTGGACGTGCACCAGCAATGTGCACTTACAACCCAGAAAGCCAAT